CCGGGCGAAGAAGGGCGACAGCTGCGAGTACGACGATGGAAAAGGCAAGACGCGGACCCAACTCCTCCGCGAGACCATTGTTCGTCTGGAACACAGGGTCCGAGAGCTCGAGGACCCCGACTACATTTCACCCGCGGTAACTCTGCACGACCCTCATCTGCGAGGGTTTTCCGAGTCACCGCCGTCGTCGTCCTACGACTCGACAGGCCACTCTCCTTTCCCATCTGGTGCGTACGACAACCATCTATGTATTCTCGTTAGCTGACCATCGTGCACAGAGTCCACGCACTCGCCGGAAGAATCTTGGAGCCACTTGCCGTCCGCCTCGCCGCCACTGTTCAGCCCCGATGCCTTTTTCCAAGAACCGCAGTTGATCCAGCCTCCAGTGGACCTCGCTGCGATGCTGTACGTTCTCTTCCCTCATTGACCGTGTCATGTTCTCACCTTTCTTCCCAGCTTGGAAATCTTCTCACCTCACCGTCACCAGTGTGGTCTGGAGGTCAGCATGGGGCGGCTACGAGACAGTCTCAATCGACCACTCTCCGAGCAGCGTCACCCGGCATTCATGAACGCCATCTTCCTTTGGGCGTGCTTCATCTCGCGACCGGAGCCTCTCTGCCAACACGAGGAGCACTACCTTTCCCTGTCCCTCGACGGTCTTCGCGATGGGCTTCGGGAAGGCGACAAGACAGTGGACCTCGTGCAGGCCTCGTGCCTTCTTTCTCAGTACTTCCTCGCCAACGGCCGGTACCTGGAGGGCAGCTACCATGCCAGCGCTGCTGCGGCCCTGGCCGTCCAATGTGGTCTCCATGCGGGCGAGATGACGATCTGGCCGTCGGTCGGCGACGATTCCAAGCCTTTCAAGACCGATCTCCGGCAAGGCGAGCGGATTCTGGCGTTTTGGCAAGTGTATAACCTCGACCGGTGCTGGTCGGTGGCGCTGCGCAAACCGATCGTCATTCCGGACGGGCCTCAGGCGTGGAGCTCAATCAACTGCCCCTGGCCGATGGACATTTCGGATTACGAGGCCGCAAGTCTTGTCCATACGATCGCCAACTAATGGTCTGACTCTTTCCCTCAGGGCCAACCAAGCTCGGGTGTTAACTTTCAAACGATTAAATCGTTCTTTGAGGGAGATGTAGCTGTCGATGGCTACTCCACTCCAGCCTTGCGCGCCAAAGCCTCTGCGCTCTTCGAGCGCGCCGATACTCTGTCCACCAGCTGGAATTCACGTATGTCTCATTTGTCGTTTCCCCCGGCTGGCTGACCCCTCATCCCATCCCCTAGGAGTTGAGCCTTCGGATAGCTTCCGTCAGGAGATCCATGACCTCGAGCTCACGATCACTGCGTTTGTCGCGACCCTGCCGTCGCTGCACTCGCTCACGAGCTCGGAGGAACGGCCTATGCTCTTGACGGTGCACACGCTTGCGCATGCCGCCTTGATACACCTCTACCAGCCCTTCGCCCCTGACGACCCTGTGTCTTATGACAAGTGTTCGCGCGCCGCTAGGGCGTGCGGCTCTATAATAACGCACATTACGGATTCCGACTTTGCTTACCTCGATCCGATCTTGGGCGTGCGTGCCATACTTATTGCCTGCGATCGAAACTGACTTACGTGCTGCAGCCTTGTTGGACGTCAGCCGCGGATACTCTTGTCCGTGAGATGGCCACCATCAGCACGTCGTGGCCGCCCATGAACGCCGCCGACGTCCGCAACGAGCTCGGGACGATCCTATATGCCATGGCCAACCTGGCGTCAAGATTTCCGCTTCTAGGTATGTCGCTGGCTCCTGTCGTTGTGTGGGTGTCGCTGAGTATTCTTTCAGGCATGTCTGCCGCGAAAATCCAGAAACGGTTGGCTGAGCTATAGGCATCGACATCGACGACGACGATTACACGTCTTCCCGGAGATGACCATGACATTTCCTCTCCTCTTGATCGAGCACCCACCGGCCGGCCTCGCTTCGACCTTCGACTCGGACTGGCTCTCCACCGCACACACGCCTTGGAGGCTGCTGTCGCTTTTTTCGGACTATTGCCTGCATTGCTACGGTTTAGCGTGGACATTCGGACCCTTTTTCATCCTTCGCATTCGCTCCTTTCACTGTGACATTCCTTTCCCTTTTGCATTTCATCGGACATTGTTGTGGACGTTTTGCTATCCCTTCTTTGGACGCTTGGACGTTTCTGTTCTTTCCTACCTACCACGCTCATTTACGATCTCATGCACACTTTACGAGCACGGATGGACTTAGATTCATGGACTATCTCGGACTATGGGTGCCTTGACCCTCACGGACACCAAAAATTAACTAATTCAGCACTGTATTTCTTCAGCTACCTTGATACGGTACCTACCCTGGACTTTGCTCGGACAACAAAACTCAAAAGGACTCTTCTGTATTCACTTTGTTCGCTATACTTATTCTTCTTACTATAATATCGTTACATACTTGCTTTGCTATTCGCTAGGGTACTTAGTCTACCCTCCCCCCGCTCGCTGGCTCGCCTTGCATCATTGCTTCTTCGCTTTCACGTTGCACGTACAGATTGTACAGACATACACTTGGGCCTTGGGCGCGGCGGCCCCGCGATTGCTACTTTAAAATTAATGCAATGCTCCTCTTGCGATTTCGAGGGAGCTGTTCCTTGGATGTTTCGTCGGATAACTGTGGATTGAAAGATGATATTGGTGCCACTGATGAATGCATGCATAGCCCGCATAGTGGAGAAGATTTCAAGCTTGTTTGAGGGCGCGTATAGCAGCTGTCATTGCCCAACGAAACACACACAGCCCTGGACAGGCGAATTCAGACGGCGAGCGATTGAATCTATCCAACTGTCTTTGTACGATGATAGATGACTTTTTGTTTGCACAGTACCCTGAGGACTCGCATGCTTAGTTCAGTTTCGTAAGGATAATGGTACCGGTCAAGAATCAAGAATCAAGATGAATGGATGGTACAGATTAAGATGGCTGGGTTGGCTGCTGCGGAGTGTGGTATGTAAACCCAAGTACAAGCGTCGACGGTGGGATAGGATTTGGAACAGGAATAGGACAACAACAACAACTGCCGAGAGAAGTGCTGCGGGACCGTCGATTTTAGCGTACGTATGGCGCAGAAGAAACGCACACACGATCCATCCTAGCAACCGCGTCCGAGTCCACATGCGCGTAATAGAATTCACGCCTCCCACTCTATTCGCAGTATCTTCCTCCCCACGCCTATCTTGCGCTCCCAAACAGACTCGGCCTTCCCAGCACACCGTGCCTCGATGATGGCTTTCGACTGCAGAGCGGCCGAAAACTCGGAAACGCCACCGCCGACGCCAAAGTACAGCACCTTCGCGGCGACCAGACACATTGTGTTCGGGCCACTAACGCGATGGAGAAGTTCGATCAAGGCGTGAAGTGACTCGGTGCGGTATATCGTCTCGGAGGTCACCACGACGTCGTACGTAGGTTCGCTTGTGGATTCCAGGTGCGCGTGGAGCGATCCCCATGCGCCGGAGGAAAATGTTAGTTTGATCCCGTATTTTGAGAGCGATGCTACGAACGCCGCTTTGAGCGTGGGTGTTAGGGGCAGTTCGCCTGAGGCTGTTGGGTCGGCTGGTGGGTATTCCGTGTCAGGTTCTGATTCTGAGGAACGGTATTCTTGCGAGGCTGGTGACATATCTGATGATCCAAAATGAGAGAAGAATTTTCGGATTTGAAAAAACGTACACCAAGCGAGGAGAATATTGGGCAGAGTGATGAGCTCCAAAACCGACGCGTTGTAATCTTGCAGGTGAACATGCGTTTCGGAAGTCGAGGTCGAGTCTCCACAAAATAGGCGATGGAGAATGAACACGGAGGGTATACCCGTTCCGCACCCGATCTGAGTTCATTTCATTGTCAAGTAACTTGAGCGTCTCGATCGACTGTACTGACCTCCAAGATACGTTTCCCCGAGAAATGCAGATCGAGGGAGTCTAGGTACCCCACCAGATCGAGGCTGCATTCCCAGGTTTTCAATCCGCCTTCGTAGACACCTGGGACGAGGTCGGACGGGGCGTCCAAGAACCCGAGAGCTGCAGTAGAAGGTGTAGGTCTCGACCCCGAGGATTCATCGGCATCGCCATGACCCTCGGAGATGAGTTGGAATCGCGCATCGAATAGATCCCTGCGAGATAGCGTGATGTTATCCCGGCCTCCAGCCCAAAGACGGATGGGTAACGGAGAAAAAGAGATGAGAGGCGGAAGTGAATCGAGCTGATCTTGGTGGTTCAATACCTGTGATTGGGGTAGAAAGCAAGCCACACTGACGAGCTGAGACAAATCGAGCTGTGCGAATGGTTCTAGCTGCACAGTTTTTGGTGCAGCTGCCGCTGTTGGTGCGACGATTTCGGGATTATCGGTAGCGTCGTCTTGGATTCCAAAATCGAACATGGACATGGCGGCAGACTATCTTTTCGTGTCAAAGGAAACTCGGTGGAAAAAAAAAATCAAGGGACCGGGTGAAGCTCTTCCGGGTATCACTGACAGATAGCCAAGGTTGCCGGTAGACCAGAATGCGAGTTTCCCCGATCTGTGGAGTCGGGCGAGCTGAGATGGTGATGGAGCGGAACAAGCGCGTATGTGGCGGTGTAAAGATCAGATCACACCTTCTTCTCCGCTCCACCATGTTCAAGTTCTAAGTACTCCACCAGTAGCTTCTCGACAATCTGACATTAATTCGGAGTCGACCGCATCCTGATTCAGAACACCGGTCCGGGAAAGGTAGTCGAAAGGATTCTACGGAACTCCAACGGATATGAACGAACCAGCCAACTCCGAGTCAAGAGACGGCAAGTTGAAAAGCAGAAGGGTACAACACCTGCCCAGCAGGAATCTGACATTAATGAGTGGTATTTAGAAGACGTGTCCGCTGTCCGCTGCCGTTGAGTCGTTCAAGTTACTTCCAACGGGACAAACCATGACCTTCCTGCCGTGAGTTCTCTGGATTCCAGCCCCCCAAGGCACTGTGGCGGAGTGGTTAACGCGACAGATTAGAATAATTGGCCAAGCACATTAAGCACTCGGCCATTTATCTATCTGTTCCACTTGTTGGGCGCATGTTCGAATCATGCCAGTGTCGTGAAACCAGCCTCTCTGGTACTCTTTTTGGCCATCCCATCTGCAGAAGGTGCCAAGGAGCACTATTGAGCCGGGTTTCGCGATATCCCTAAGCACTTGGTGTTGTGCTAGTGCCCGAACTAACTGATGAATTCAAAAGACCTACCAGAGTCGGAGACACCTCTCGAATTTAACATCACCGTCTCTTTCAACCCTAGCTTCTATTTCGTGCAATGGAGCATAATGGAGTGCGAGCGAACGGAATGCATCAGACTGCCAGACGAAGACCGGATGTGAAGCAAATCCGAACTTCCCATGATGAGTTGTGGCTGTGTTTGGACTCTTTGTTCTTCTCCACCCACCCGATTTCTTACCATGTTCAAGCCTGGCGACAGATTGAATCCATACGACCCCGGTAGGTCAAGTAACCTCTCCAAGGCTCATCCCTAAGGCCGGCAAAAAGCGTCCCTTGAATATCCCGGCGACGATGCCGCTCGAGGCCTCATGGAGCGTATCGCCGCTGGCACGAGCCCCATGGGCAACCTCAGCTCGATGTTTCAAAGTCCCGAAAAGCTCCAGCATATGCTACAGATGATGCAAGACGATGAAGCCGAACGCGCCCGGACTGGGGAGACTCTCGATGAACAGATTTTGCGCGAGAAACGCGAGTGGGCTGCTGCGGATAAGAAGAGCGCTGGGTTGAAGGTGAAAGGGAATGACGCGTTTCGGAACGGCGAGTACAAGACTGCCTACGTGATTTATTCGACGTGCATTCGCTTGTCTTCGCACGAACCGTTGTATTGGCTGAATAGGGCGGCGGTCGCGTTGAGTGCGTCGTTATTTTTCCCCATTTTCCTTCGTCGTTACTGAAATTCTGCCCTTTAGAACTGAAATTGTATGCAAGAGCCGTCGAGGACGTGTCCAATGCCATCGAGAGGGGAGACTACAACCTCGCCAAGGCCCACTTCCGTCGCGGTCAAGGCCACTTTTTCTTGGGAGATTGGGACAAGGCGGCGGAAGAATACGCAAAAGCGTTGGCCCTTCAGCCGGGAGATCCGAACGTCCTCGAACAGACGAAGGAATTGGAGAAGGTTCGCTGTGATTTGTCGGAGGAGGAGAAGGTTGCTTGGGTCGCGGCGCAAGGGGCTGTGACGGTGCAGGATATTTTCGAGCCCGACGAAGTGAAGAACCGATCGGATGAGCTCATGGAGCAGAACGTCGACTAGGTCCTCTTTTCCGATACGCACTTGGCGTTGTATAACTGCTCATTGTATGTACTGAACTCTGTAGTAGGCCCGAATGCCGCTTTCCAGTCGACGGCCGACTCGGACGGAAGGATGGCGAACCTCTTGTTGTCCGCATCCTCGACGACGAATGCACTTCTACTCAAGGTGGTTCGGGTCTGCGATGATAGGCCCAAATGAAAGAATCCCGGTAGGTCCTTCTAGCCGCACCACCCTCTCTCAGCTTGTGCAAGGCGACATCATTGCGCATGCGCTTGTGAAGCCTCGCACGCTGAAATGGGTCGAAGGAACAGTGCCCTACTCCAATTCGAAGTTGAGCTGGTGCTCCATCGAACAAGCCGGAAGTTTGATTGAGGTACTTGCGGTATTCATCTCAGAGTCACTCATTCTCTTCTCGTTTGATAACAAGATGAAGTCCGCTGTAAGAAAGACTCGGATGAGCATGAATCCTTTACAGCAATCTACTTTCTTATGCTGCAGCCAAGATAGTGTTCAAGATACTAGGACCCGTGATTATACTGATCCGAGGTTTGATCAACAATCCGGACAAAAAATCGATCATCTGAGCTGGAAGTGAGTTCAGAATCCGGACTCGAGGTAGACGAGCTCGGATTGGCAGTCCGAACAAGGACTTGGCAGGGGTCAACAACTCAGATCAGAGTCCGGACAAGATCATGCGGCGGTGGATGCGGCGGGGGGCGGTGCTTGGCATTGCTTGCAGCGGGCGGCGTGTAACTGAGTGGAAAGGGGCACACCCTGTCATTTTACAGTTATTGTATACAGAATATCATCTACATAATCTTTTCATACGGTGCGACGAAAGGGGAAATCGAATATCAGTGTTACGGAGGTATACGAAGACAACGATGTGGCTTCCTAGCAATCCCAATAGAGCCCCAGATTATTATTATTTTTGCGATTTTTTGCGATTTTTAGGGATTTTACGGGGTCAGAGCGCGATCCGGACGAAAAATGGTCAAATTTTAGGGGTTACAATGCGGTCCGGACAAAAAGCTTGGAGGGGCCGATTTTCGGATCCGACCTCTTGGGGGGATTATCACGGGTCCTGGCATCTCACTATTTAAGCTGCAGCGGTCATGGTTCAGCGGCATTCCTTTGTTGCCGTTTCCCCAGTGACTTGACCATTCGATGGCCCTGGTCCGTACTTTGCCGCACATCTCGGATAATGATATCGTGTTCAACCCCGGGCAGGATGCTCACAGGCCTCAGGCTGGACCTTTCCACGTCGACGTGGAGGCAGTAGCTGCGACGTTGCAAGGCGAGACGATGATGCTACCGAGCATCCCGCGGCTGTTCGCCACCTGGCCGAGCGCCTCCAACAAGCACGAGCGGCACCTGAAGCAGTACGTTGACGTGCTGCTCGAAAGGGCCCTTCAGAATCCCAAAGGGCTAGCGGCAATGAAGGACGCCGGTTTTGCCAGCCAGATTGCGCTGTGGTATCCGGACGCCGAGTGGGAGGAGCTCATGCTGGTCACGGCGTATCTGTTGTGGATATGGATATGGGATGACGAGGTGGACGGGGGAACCACCAACATCTCGCGCAATGCTGAGCAGGCGCGCGAGTACTACGCGCAGAGCCGCGAGTATGTGCAGCAGTGCCTGGGGCTCAAGGAGAAGCCGCAGGGCTCCGATGCGAGTATTCATCCCAATATGCGCCTGTTCAGCTTCGTCGGCGATGGCCTGTGCAAGTCCACCGACAAGATCCAGCGCACCCGCTTTTACAAGGAGTTGGATGGTTATATGACCAAGGTCGAGGTCGAGCACGAGCTGTGGACGGATTCCTGGCACTGAAGAGTACCTCAAAGTTCGCACCGGATCGGTGGGTGTGTTGCCGATGGTTTCCATCACAGACTATGCCCTACGCATCCGCCTGCCCGAGAGCATCATGACGTCCAAGGCCATGCGGGCGATCTGGGAGGAGACCACCGTCATCAGCATGATCATGAACGACATCTACTCGTGTCCCAAGGAGATTGTGAATACATCCGTCCGTGTACAAGAATAAACTGACCCACATACCTTAGGCCCAACACTCTCTCATGAACATCATCCCCGTACTTTGGCTGAATATGCGTCCCGAGGAACGGTCCCTGGAGGCCGTCGCAGAGGAATGCATCAAGATCATGTCCGAGGCCAAGGCGCGATTTGAAGCTGCCGCCAATGACCTCGACATTATGTGTGCCGACGACAACGCGCTCCGCAAAGACACGGGCAACTTTGTGCAGTGGTGCCGCTATTTCAGCACGGGTGTCATGTATTGGGGTATGGACACTTCGAGATACGGGTTGAAGAGCTGTGTGCAGGAAGATGGGACTATTGAATTGAAGCTCAGTTACCTCGGACGATCGTTATGAAGTACTTACTTAGCTGCAGTTGGCAGAGCTTGTATTACTGTAACTGTTTCTTATCCCGCAATGAGGGAATCATTTCCGAGATTCCAGTGAGAGCCCGAGAAAAAGAACGCCCCAGGGGGGTGCTGCGCAGTGTCGGCCAAGATTTGAGGTCACACCAAGGGCATGATGTTGGCATTACATTTACGGTGGCGGCTCAACAGGGCTCAACGCAAGAGCGAGTTTGTCCGCCGTCGATTTGTCCTCCGAGGCTGCCTGAGTGCGTTGGCTCGGCAGGTCTAGAAGCCAGAGAATGGGGGTTTGTTAGGTTGCTCTAGGTCGAAGATGCATGCATACCTGATGGGTGTTGCGGTTGTGTGGCACGTTACATAATGCTATCCAGTTACCGATCACTCTTTCTCTTCCTGCGACCACTGCCCGCGGAAACGGCGTTCAGCGACTGCTTCTTGCCTTGATTCTTGGGATATTATATCAATCCAAATTCCATTTCTCCACTTGAAAGCCAGCCTCTATGTAATAACGCTCACGATCAACTCGCGCCTTCTGACCTCGAGGGACGAAATCCGAAAGGAGAGGCAAAGAGGCTCCTTTTATCCGGTTTCTCGACCAACGCATTTCTCAAGACCGAACACTCGATAAACGCGTTCAGGCGAGCGGGTGGGACCGCCGAGGGATCACTGACTCGCTGATCCTCTCGGCACGATCTCGATTCTTAAGCTCGACCAAAGCTCGACACGACTGGGAAGATACTTTATGGAAAGAAGCCTCACAGATACAGTGTACAACAGCAAAGCAGGCTCCCTCCCGGCGATTTTCTCCCAGGGCTTCCCCGATTTTCTCCGTGGCTGCTTTTGGGCTGCTTCCGAGTCAAATGGCTCAACGGCCAGGCTTACGCTGCACGCTCGGGTAACGACACGTGGACATCTTCGTCTTAATGTGCGACAACCGTCCGGTGCTTCTGTAGTATCAACTTTGAACACGCGGATACCCGTGCGTGCGCTTTGGTCTCATCTCCAGGTTTTTATCGAATTCTGTAACCCAGTCTTCAATGTTTTGCGTATCAAGAGTATCGCACCTTACTTTACACTCGAGCAACGAAGGTATCGCGCGGAAAAGGTCAGAAAACCCTCTTCAGGAGCGCCGTCTTGCAATTTTTTGTGAGTCCCTCCGCTTTTTGTGCACTCAAAGCCAAGGCCGAGTTTCTTCTGGTCTTTCAAGAGTTTGCAGATACCCGTCGGAATTAACGAAATCGCCCTCTCTCCGCCGATGTCAACTGCCTCGACCCAAGGCCCAACTCGAACTCGATCAAACCATGCGCAATTGTAACAATTCAACGTTGGTGGCGAGGAAGTGTTTCTATCACCGACGGTCCTCTCATTTGAATAGAGCGGCAAGGCTGGACTTTC